GCTGGGGATGAGGGGGCGGGGCAGTGGGGAGGGCTGGGGATGAGGGGCGGGGCAGGGAGGGCAGTGGGGGAGGGGCTGGGGATAAGGGGGAGGGGCGGGGCAGTGGGGGGCCTGGGGATGAGGGGGCGGGGCCGGGAGGGCAGTGGGGTGGGGCTGGGGATGAGGGGCGGGGCCGGGATGGCAGTGGGGTGGGGCTGAGGATGAGGGGACCGGAAGGGCAGTGGGGCAGGGCTGGGGGCTGCTTCATGGGGGTCAGTGGGGCTGTAGGGAGCTGGGCTGGAAGTTACTAGGTCCCTGGTCTATGGGGTGAGGGAGAGGGTCGAGGCGCCGGGAGGTCAGTGGGGGAGGGGCTGGGGATGAGGAGGCGGGGCTGGGGATGAGGGGCGGGGCTGGGAGGGCAGTGGGGGAGGGCTGGGGATGAGGGGGCGGGGCCGGGAGGGTGGGGGGCGGGGGAGGGTCGGGGCGCCGGGAAGTCACTGGGTGCTCGGGAGGCGGGGGAGGGTAGACGTGCCAGGTGGGGGGCGCAGGGGCCCCAGGACCTTTCGGGGTCTCCGGGCCCGGCGGTGCTGAGCTCCCGTCTCCCCTCAGGACTCGGACGGGGAGGCGCCCGACTCCCCCTGCGCCCGCGCCCGCCACAAGCTGGAGACGCTGCTCAACAGGAACATGCGGATCTGCATGACAGACGGACGGACGCTCGTCGGCTGTTTCCTCTGCACCGACCGTGACTGCAACGTCATCCTGGGCTCTGCGCAGGAGTACCTCAAAGCCAGCGGTGCGCCGGATGCCTGGGTTCCTCCGCTCGGGGGTGGGAGAGGGCTGGGAGCCAGGACTCCTGGGTTCTCTCCCCAACTCTGGGAGGGGAGTGGGGGCTGGTGGTTAGAGCAGTGGGGCTGGGAGCCAGGACTCCTGGGTTCTCTCCCCGGCTCTGGGAGGGGAGTGGGGGCTGGTGGTTAGAGCAGGGGGGGCTGGGAGCCAGGACTCCTGGGATCTCTCCCCGGCTCTGGGGGGGAGTGGGGGCTGGTGGGGTC